CACTAACAGACATCAAACAGACTCACTAACACACACACACACTCAGTAAGACACACACAGTAGCACACTCACTAGCAGACACACACACTAACACTCACACTCACACTAACACTCACTCTAACACTCACACACACTAACACTCACACACACTAACACTCACTCTAACACTCACACACACTAACACTCACACACACTAACACTCACACTGGGCTTCCTCTTCAGCTCCCTCGCGCGCCGCGTAGGGATGCCGGCGCCGGAAGATGACGTCATCTTCCGGCTCCGGTATCATTGCGGTGCGCGAGGGAGCTGAAGAGGAAACCCACAGAGAGTGCTCCCTCGCGCGCCCGCCTGCCTGCCCGACCAGCCATCCGGGGTCAGCAGGGCCAGCCTCAGGGGGGCCCTGGGGTGGTCGGCCCCTGGGCCCCCCAGGGGAAGAGGCTGGCCCTGTGGCTACATACCGGGTCGCAGGGGCGGCCGGGCCCCCTGGTGGGCCGGGCCCGGTCGCAGTCGCGACCCCTGCGACCCTGGTATGTACGCCAGTGTGTGTGTGTGTATATATATATATATATATATATATATATATATATATGTGTGTGTATATGTATATTTTAATTTTTTTTGCACTTTTCACACAAACTGCCATTTCACCAATGATATCAGTATAATAAATTTTACTGCTCTAAAACAGTCATATTTGTGTAGAGTAATGTCTCACGAGTACAACAGTACTCCTCAAGTACAGGTTTTATTGTGATTTGGAAAGTCATAGGATCAAACATAAGATTTGCCATTTTCTGTTATTGTAAATTGCTATTTGCCAGATTGGGACAGTAGGCAGCCCAGAAATGAAAATTAACCCCAGCATGACCTACCATTTAAAAAAAAAAAAATGTAGACAACTCAGGGTATTCAAAATGGGGTATGTCCAGTTTTTGTTGTTGTTTTTTTTTGTGCAAGTAGGTACAGTTTAGCATCAAGCGCCACAAAAGCGTGCATATATGTTAACAGGATTGACAGTGGCATGAGAAGTTGCACATTTTTTAAATTATGTATACAAACTTAACGTAACTTGAGATGCTCCAAGATGAAGTTTTATATTTTAGACAAAACAGGCTAGGAACATCAGCATACATCACAAGACCTGCTTGATAACAGTGAGTTAGAACATACATAGCTATGATTAAGAAGGTCATAAGAGGGGGAAGAGCCTGACTGCCGAGGCAAGCAGACGCAAGACCCAGGAGCTCCGAGCAAAAACTGAGAAAATATACCTAAAAACGGCTGATACTACCCACTGACCAAAGGCAGGAACCACTTAAGCCATAATGGGAGGCAAAAACTAGAAACAAACGCAAGACAAACCAGCCCCCGGACTCACAATAGGGGAAATGTGGGGGCAGGCATGCGGCTGCAATATGGCGGCGCTCCACAGAGGCTGCTCGGATTTCTCAGATGATTGCTCAGGGGAAGCCGAAGATGAACACCACCTAAACCCAGACCCAAAGCCGAGGGCAAAACCCAGGAAGGACCCCGATGCTGAACTGGTGACTACTGGGGTATTAAAGACCCTGCTAGCGGACCTACAGAAAAACATCCTTGCAGGCGTCACTGCACGAAGGGGAGAGCTGCAGGGCCTGACAGGCCGCATCACAGTACTAGAGGAATCCTCCCAAGAACAGCAGCGCACTATAGCCTCGCTGCAGACCGACATGCGGGACCTGCGCCGCCAAAATTAGCTGTATGAACGGCGTTTTGCAGCCCAGGAGGACACTAGGCGGAAGCTCAACATAAAAGTCAGGGGGGATTCCGGAGGGCTTGCAAGAGACGGATCTACTGCGCACGATCAAGCGCATACTAACCACAATACTACCTCCAGACCAAGCCAATGCCATCACACTTACAGATCTCTTCCGAATCCCAAAACCCGTTGGGGCCCCAGACACGGCCACAAAGGACACTATACTTACCTTTGGGAATGGGTCAGACAAATCGAAGGTCCTCTCCGCGGATCGGGGTAAAGCAGAAAATGCAAAATTTACTTTCTACGCCGACCTGTCCAGCGGACCCCTGGCATGGCGCAAGTCACTCCGGCCCCTCACCTCCACAGTCCAGCGCAACAAAATACCGTACCGCAGGCGATCCTCATACACGCTCCTAGTGCAACACGGTGAAACAACACACCAAATCTACAGCATGCAAGATGCAGCGGTTCTTCTACAAACCTTGGGACTGTCACAGGACTCACTCTCACGGGCGGGATCCAGTGCCCATGCCACCCCAACCCACAACTGGGATCCAGCAAGAAGTGCCCCGTTCAGACTGCGGAGCACCACACCGATCAACTACGCCTCGTAGTTACCACATAAATGGAGCCAAAGGGTACAGCTTACAACCTCAGCAACACCACAACCTGCTCAAACCTTACTACCGAGAAATGGAGTACCACACCGGGACCCTTCTAATGCCTCGCATTCTGATTCTTCTCTGGGGAGGTAGCAGCGTCTGGACAAGAGTTCCGTGTTCAGGCTCTGGAACTCGTCTGGTGCAAGGTAAGTGATCACCGCTAAGTGCCCGGGCTGGTTCCGTGGTTTTGTCAGGGATCGCCAAGCTGATATCTGAGCCACATCAGACTCTGGGCATACGCTTCAGTGGAGCTGCAATTCTGGCCTCTGCAAGTAATTAACGTTAGAGCGGGGCAGTAGTCGCCGGTGCTGGTGTTTAGAGCCATCGACCCAAGCCATGTGGACTTGCGTTCAGGCTTGAGTCGTCGCTTGGTCCACCGCTATTTTCGGGCCCTGCACTTTTTGGACCTCTTGCACCTATTGAGAGGTGGTGAGGGTGGTGTCGTACAGTGGTTACATGGTTTGTGCTTCGCAGCTTGTTGTGCTCGATCTGCCAGTTTTCTCCAAAATTATGCAAATATAGTGTCCAG